CAGCGCCTTGGGCCTGGGTACACGCCTCAAGCCACGCTCAGTCCTGGCGCCGCCTCCAAAGGGCCCCTGGGCCCTAGTTCTCGCTCTTTTCGTTTGAACAGGGGCTCCCGTGAGCCCGCGGCCTCCAAACCGTTTTTCCCGCGAGGACCCTCCTGGCCGCCGCGTAGGTCCGAAGCAAAAGGCCCGAAAGGCAGAGGGACAGCGGGGGCCACCGGGGGACCCCGCTGCCCTGGCCCTTGAGGGCGTGTGGCCGTGCCAGCCACCTGCGGCGCGGGCGATCCCGTGCTTCGCGCCGGTTCAGGAGGGCGGCCACCCCGATCCCAGTGCCCCGCAGCCTAACGCAACTCGGGGCGCCACGGGGCCACTGCCAGTATTCGTGTGAGTGGAATTCCCGCGCCCTGACCTGCCCCAAACGGTGGGCAACACAAACCCGTGGGTGCGGAGTTTGCAAGTACCCAGCTGCGTCCACCGGCGAGGAAACCGGTGGGCACGGGAGACAGGCGTGGGTAGCGGGAAGGCGCCGGGAGCCTGGGCGCACACCCGCCCTGAGCTGCTTACCCGCTTTCAACGAAACGCGCCTCCGAGGCCCGAGCGCGAGGTCTGGCGGGAAGAGACGGCGCTGGGACGGCGGCCGGCCCACCCTTATCCTCCGGACGCTCCAAAGCTTTGAGCCCCGAGCGGATCTGCGGGGAGGGCCTGAGACGCGCAGCGCCAGGGCCCGAGTCTGCCTAGGGGATTTCTGCAGCTTTTATGGGCTGGAAAAATAAAGATTTTATTTAGAAAGCTTCTGGTCCTCTGGTTTGGCACCGAGCCCCGCCCCCTTCTCTGCTGGCGTTGGAAATAGTAGCCAAGGAACTCTTTCTACTTAGATCATCCCCTTTTTTCCTAAATAGCCCCAACCCAAAGTCAAGGAAGCCCTTGGGAGGCTGGTGCAGGCTGCTTGCCCCCTTCTCCCCAAAAGTCCCTGGAGTGGGCAATGTGCCCGCCCTGAGCAGGGCAATGGGTGCCATCCATGGGGGCCCTTCATCCTTGCCTTGGGGAGCTTCTGGCCCAGTTCCAGACACAAAGGCCCTAGAATGTCCCTGACCCAGAGTCATGGGGCAAAGGCATTCTCTCAGTGTGAGCTCACTGGAGCACACCCATCCTTCCACGCCTGCTGCTGCCTTCCAGAAAGTGCGATCCCAGGGCCTTCCAGCCCATGTAGGAGGTGAAAGGAGCCAATGCAATGAAGCACAGAGTCGCACAGGTCTACAAAAGCCTTTTCCTTCCCAGCCATGGAGCTTCTCCTATTTGTGCCTGAAGAAATAGTAAGTGCAGGCCTCTCACGTATGCCGTAAGGGAGGAAGGAGTCTGAGATCCTGTGGATTGGGGTGGGGTGAGTCCAAGGCGCCTGGCACCCTCTCCAGCAGCTGCTCTGAGCACTAGTACTGGGGACTGAGATTGCCTTAGGATCAGGCTGGCGTCTGTTAAATCCTCACCCGTCACCTCCCAAGTCCTCTGACCTGTGGGAAGGATGGTCAGGGAGGGGGCTTCCCAGCAAAGAAACACTAGCTGAGCTTGTAACCTTTTTAGGTGAGCAGGCACTCAGCTGCTGCTGCTGGCAAGATGTTCTAGCCCAGACCTGCTAGAACCGGTTGGTTTCCTGCAAATATGGGGGAGGGGAGAACTAGGGCATATGGACACACACCCATACGTTGGGCAAATGGGGTTACAGATTCTCTGTGCTTGCTCTGTAGTGACTTCATATGGCACACACTACATTATCCACCGAGGCAGGTCCCACCTCTGTTCCGGCCAGGCTGATTCTTAGCGCCCAGGGGTCGCCAAGAGGACAACGCTGGAAGGGATGATGAGTCTGAAGCTCCAGAAAATGAGCCTTAGCTGAACCTGGGCAGGACCCAGTTCTGGTGGAAGTTTACTCTTGAAACTCCAGGGGTCCAAGGAGGGGCAAATTCACAGTGGAAGATATGGCTAAGGTTGCAAAGAGTACCCGCTTTGCTAAGGTGAGTATTCTTAGACTCATCCCAACCCAGAACCAGCAAGGGCCCTGCAAGATCACTCAGGCCTCGGCTAATGCTGGGAGAGAATGAGGTTGAGCTGATCACAAACTGGCCCAAGGTTTCACACCAGGAAGTGATGCCCAGCCCCACTCACCTGCACCAGCCAGGTGCTTCCCACAGCCCTGGCCTGACATTGCCAGGATGTAAAGTGGCCATGGCAGAGCTGGAACCAACCTAGCAGTCATTAATCATGTGGCTAAAGTAGAGGTATCGAAAAGCATAGGTGCCCCTTCTGGAGGGTCAGTCAAGCGGGCTCTGAAACTCAGGGTAGCCAGGGGTAAATTCTTCCCCAAAGCCAAGTCTGTAGCGAATCCTGTTGAGAGAGTGGTCTGGATGTAGCAGGGCTCCTCCCAGTCCACGGATACAGACTCGGACGATGCCACCTGGATTTCTGCAGGGAGCTGTCCCTGGCCCTGGCTCAGAACATACTTTGATAGCCCTGTGGTCTCAACACACCAGGGCAAGTCCCCAGAACCAACGTCTTAAGGACACTCCCAGGGTTCCATTCTTTCAAGCATGCAAACCCCCTCAAAACACACACACACACACACACTCCAAGACTTCTAGAACACTAGAGCAGGGGGGAAACTCTGGGGGGAGGGGGGGCTGGAGGAACACTTAGAGGAATAGGAGTCTTACTCATAGGCAACAAGCAAAGCCATAACTTGAACCCAGGGCTCTGAATTGCCATTCCAGTGCTCCTAGCACAAAACTTTCAAGAAAGCCTACAGGGGTGGGGATGAAGAAATGTTGCCTATACACAGGTTCCAGTCTTAAGCTGAGGACAGAGCCTGTCGGCTTGGGTCCTGACACCAGGAGCCAGATCGGCTCAGGCCTGCAACAGCTCATAGCCAAGAGGGGAAACGAAGTAGAAAGGGCTAGAGGGGGAAGGAACTCAGGCCCTGGCTTTTCTAAACGTAGATAGCATCAGCAGCCCTTCTCCCCGAGAACCAGTAACACGTGTTTCCACACCGTCCTGACAAAGAAGCAAAAAACAGGACCCCCTTTTTAAGCCCCTAATTCCCGAGCTCAGCGACCCGGCTCCCAAGCTGGAAGTGGCGGGAGCCCATTCCAAGTTGAGCCGGGGTGGGGTAGGGGGGTGGGGGGGAAGGTCTTGCCTCCCACTCGGTCCTCCGGAAAGTGCCACGACCGACCGTCCTAGTCTCCGGGCCCTCGCCTGCCCGCGGGCAGACTGCGGGCGCTGCCGACCCGAGTCAACTTCCGTAGAAGCCACACGGAAGTGCTGGCGCTTCTCGGGCCGTTCGATCCGTGGGACCCGTGGGGTTAAGTCTGAGCCCCGCCCGGCAAGGACAGAGAGCGCGGGGCCGAGGCGGTTCCGGCCGCGGGGCAGCCGGCAGGGTTAGGAGAGTGGGGAAAGGCGGGATCCTCCAAGGAGCAGATTCTCAGGCGTCCGCCTGCGGTCACTGCCAAATCTCCCCCACTCCTCTCCCCTACTCCCTCCCTCTCTCCCTGGAGGATCACTCCGGTCCAGAGTTCCGCGGATGGGGGGTAGGGCACGGCCAGCAGGAAAAGCCAAATCCTAGAGGGGCGTCCGCGCAAGTCCAAACTTCCCCATCCCACTGGCCAGCTCCGGGTAGAACCTACCCCCGCAAGCAGTGGCCCCAAGAGGGGCGTGGTGACCCGGAGTGGGGCGGGGGCATCCCGCGGAGCCCGCTAAAGGCTGCCCAAAGTTTCTCCCCCCTCGAGGCTTCCTCCACGCCTCTCTTCCCTTCCTCCCGGCACCCCCTTAAGCAGCCCTCCGCCTTTCCTTCTCCCCCTCTTCCCTCCCCCACCCCGTCCTCCCCTTTTCTCCTCTGCGCGTCTCCACTCCGCCCCCCTCCCGGGTCCGTCTCCTCCCTTGCTCTTTGGGCGTCCGCTCCGTCAATCACCGCCGCCGCGGGCCCCTGCCCGGCCTTCTCCGCCTCCCAGGTTCTTGGAGCGCCTCCGGCTCCTGTC